GAGATCAACCAAATGACTCTAGTGAAGGTGTGTGGAGTTTGAATGAAAATACAACTCCAAAATACAATGTTTTTGAGGAGAAAACATTACAACACATATCAGAAAATAGCGTAAAATAGGCCCTTTATGCAAGCAACAACTTTTTTAAACTCGTAAGTTCCAGCGGTCAGGATTACAAAGCGTATCTGGGATCCTAAGTGTATCCCTAGATTTTATGAACCATCTCGTACATTGCATCTCAACTCCCCCTCTCCAACCCAGGCCTGGCAGCTGCAATAAGAGTCTAAGGCGGATGAATATTAAAAGAGGAGTATTTGATTAAACTGCGCTGAGTACGTGGCACCCCGGGCTCTCTGGCGGAGGTGTACAAACATGATTCACAAACAATAAATGGAGATAGGGCCCGCGCTCCCATCAAAGGCTGAACAACTGTGCTGGAGCGTCTTCTCATTTCACACGCGCGCTGACGAATTTGAATAAAAAGATGTTTGTGAATCAGACGGGAGCGCGGTTTTGTTGCGTGTGATTGTAAAAAATGAACTGCTCGGGAAAATACATTAACGTCGAGCTAAGTCTTCGAATTTAGGATACCAGACTTCTAGACACATTGTGAGACCTACTGATCACGTTGGGGGTGTTCTACGTGCAGTGTTGGGAAGGTTACTTTTAAAATGTATTCCCCTACAGATTACAGATTACATACACCAAAATGTAGTTTGTAACATAATAATTAAATTACTTAAAGTGAGTAACGTAATTTGAATACTTTGGATTACTTGATATTGTCATGCTTTTTAAAACGACATGAATGTAGCGACCACATCCTAAATTCTTGTAAATTCTTGTTTGTTCTCTTCAAATTGTCTGTTGAGTCAAAGTCTCCATGAATAAGCAACTGTTTACTGTAGAGAAGCAAAGACTAGGAAATCTGAACATAAGATGTTTTGTTTGCTTAAAAGACAATAACAAGCTCAGTCTTTCCTTAACCATATTAAAAAAAATATTATTGATAGAGAAATTATTTTTATATGAGATCACCTTAAATTATGTCCAAACTACTGTTAGGTGTCATAATGTTTAGACTTGGTTTTAGTCCTGGTTTAATCCTGGTTTTAGTCCTGGTTTTAGTCCTGGTTTTAGTCCTGATTTTAGTCCTGGTTTAGTCCTGATTTTAGACCTGGTTTAGTTCTGGTTTAGTTCTGGTTTAGTCCTGGTTTAGACCTGGTTCAGTCCTGGTTTAGTCCTGGTTTAGTCCTGGTTTTAATCCTGGTTTAATCCTGGTTTAGTCCTGGTTTAGTCCTGATTTTAGACCTGGTTTAGTTCTGGTTTAGTTCTGGTTTAGTCCTGGTTTAGTCCTGGTTTAGTCCTGGACTGGTTTAGTCCTGGTTTAGTCCTGGTTCAGTCCTAGTTTAGTCCTAATTTAGTCCTGGTTTAGTCGTGGACTGGTTTAGTTCTGGTTTTAGTCCTGGTGTTAGTTCTGGTTTAGAGGCACAGGAGGAAGCGCGGTCTACGCAGCGTACGAGAGAAAACGCAGTCCACACGCGGCGCACGGGAGCACGTCGGTGTCCGCGCAGTAACTACGGAAGGAGACATGGTCCGCGCGTTCTCAGGTTAATGACGATGATGAAGGTGTGTGTGTGTTTGTGTTTGTGGGTGTTTGTGTGCGTGTCCCCTCATGTGGCAGGTCACTATAGGACAGTGGTGCAGACATCATGAGCCTATAGAGGTTGTTTTCCCCAGTGCCAGTAGCTCCGGTTTGACATTTAAGTTGTAGGCGATTTTATATTTGTTATTTTTTTATATATATCTCACGTCGAGAGACACAAATGCATTTTTACCTGTGCACTGCTGCCTCTGTTCTACTGGCTCTTCGACCTCTTCCATTGTGACTGACGCCGCCAACGTGAACAAATCGTTTACATCGCTCTTACTGCGCACGGTCTGTGTGGGTTTCCGGCAATGAGTGGAATTACCGAAATAAAAAATAAATAAATTGGAGGTAGCACAAAATGTGAAAACAGGAAAATATCGCCTTGTAATCCACTTATTTCAGCTAAGTAACTGTAATCCAATTACCACTCATTAAAACAGTAACTGCAACCGAATACAGTTACTCATAATTTGTACTCTGATTACGTAACAGCCGTACATGTAATCTGTTACTCCCCAACACTGTCTACGTGTATGTCTACGGCGGAATGTTCAGCAGTTACCACGGTGGCACACATCAGCATAAAGGTTTAAGAAAAAAAATAGAAAATGGCTTTAAACGGCATTTTCAGAAGTCTGTGATCAATATGAACATTCACGGGCCTTTTTGAAGAGACCAAATATTTCTGCTAAAGGTCAAAAACACCTCCATAACTAAACCTGAAGAGGTAAGAAGGCCTTTATTTTTGCCATAATGGGGAAATTTCAGCGTCGCTTCCCCTTCAATAAAAGCAGGAGAATGAAAAATGTGCAAACAAAAATGGTCCTTCACTTTCTCACGCTGTTAGAACCTTGATTTTCAACAAAAAAGGAAAAAAGGTGAGAATAACTAACTGCTATCTGTGCCTAGTTGTCTTTTAATTGTGTTAAAATAAAGCTCAGATTAAAGTGTAATTTGAGTAACATCTCAGCAGATCGCGCCTATCGATCGTGCCAGTCGTGCCTATACTTTTGTAGAAATAGAGTTTTTCAAATATTCTTGTTTCTGTACTGTACACTTCAAACGTCAATATCTCAGAACTACCAAGAGCGCTGTCAGAATATTTCTATTTTCACTGTCTATCCCTGCCAATGTCTCTGTTCTTAAAGGGATAACATCAGATTTTAACCAGTGTTTTCCTCATTATTAACTTAATTTACCGTATTTTCCGCACTATTAGGCGCTCTGGATTATAAGGTGCACTGTCATAGAATGGTCTATTTTCAAGCTTTGCATTGGACTTTAAAGGAAAGACAACAGTGTGATGGGTGAGTGGTTTTGTTTGTTTGTTGCGTTCACGGTGACTCTGGGCTTTGTTCAGTTGTGGCGTGTAGGGAGGTGCTGTCTGGGACCAACGGATTGTCGGCGTGTTCGCAGTGACTCAGTTGTTCAGTCGTGTCTAGAAGTGGCACATTGCACTCGCTTTTTCGGTTCGTTCCTCCGTTCCGTTCCTCGTCGGCGTGGAGTGATGAGTGTGTCTGTGGGTGTTTTTTTTTCGCTGCGAGGTCGCTGTCTGCTCCGTGTGTGTTTGTGTGTTCTGTGGGTGGTGTGGATTTGTAGTTTACTGAAGTCGTGCTGTGACATCTGAGTGGATTCGTGGATGGGGCGCTCTAGATTGTGGGGCGCGCAGTCGTATTTTGATGGGGTTGGAGGCTTAAGAGCGTGCTCAATAGCCTGGAAATTATGATACTTAAGGTTTTTATCAGTTGAAAAATCATGTTTGAAAAATCCTTGTATTGTCCTTGCATGGCAAATCCAGACTGATATCTGTGTATTTTTTTTATAACATATTATATATCAGTTTATGTAGACCAGTCCTTCTCAATTAGTGGGGTGGGGGGGTGTGACCTCGTAGCCTGATTCATCAGCCAGTTTCACTTCGTAGAAACCGTCTGACCTTGGCTTGTTAGAATTTGTTCGCTCGATGGTAGGCGGGTACTTTTTATCATTTAACCAATCGCTGCTATTTGGTCATGACGTTTGTAATGCGCCGCTAACGGGGCTAACTGGTATATTAAGCTTTTCCCAAATCCCGCAGGAAGGAGGACAATAACTTCTTTCGTCTTGATGAAATTCACCATTCTCTTTATTCTGGATTTAAATCCTCGATCTCAGGAATCGTTGGCGACACAGAATGTATAGCTCTTCGCTGATTGGCTGGTGCCCGAACTAGCACTTCCCGGGTTTTTGCGAACCGTCTAGTGTATTCTGATTCCTGACCTAGTCGCTAGAGAGAAATGAAGTTGAGCAGAGGCACTAGGTGGCACCATCCTGGCTAGAGACGTCGAGGAACAAGTTTTTTTTTTTTGTCTCTACTAGAATAAAGTGTAATTGCACATCCACCACAGTAGTTGACAGTGACGCTCTCATTGTCAGTGTGCGCAGGGAGTATTGGCGCTATAGTGTTGTTGTTTTTTTTTTGCAGTAAGCAAACGCACACACAGCACAGAGCAGCAGATATGAAGAGAGAACAAACTGTATGTAAAGCGTATGTAGCGCTCAGCTTCACTGTGACTACGGTGGGAAACGACGAAAGACCCGTGTGTTTACTGTAACTAAAAATGTTGGCACGCGAACAGCACGAAGACTAATAAATTACGGCGTCACTTAAAGACATTACACTGATAAGCCACTTGAGTTTTGCAGAATATTGCCGACAATCATCCCGCTTTGTGAATGCTACTTCAGTAAACCAGCGAGCTCTGATAGCATCATATAAGGTGGAGTACCAAACAGCAGAGGGGTTGATACTGACAAACTATAACATCACCTTTAAAGACGAGGAGGAGAGTGGAGTGGACTGTTTCATAACGCCGGTGAGTGGAGCGCGGAATACGGACGAACAAATGCTACGTCTGTTCCCGGGAGTCACTTTGGAGACGCGACTAAAACGTTTGCGCTCGTATTTAAGCTACTGAAGGCGATGGTGCGATTCATCCACGTTTGGTCTGTGGAGTGGGGGGCGCAAAATGTTTTCTTCTTCCATCTTCCAAATAACTGAGAAGGACTGAAAAAGACAGACCATGTGTGTCCTTGATTGGCTAATCCACCTCAATCACACCCATCTGAACTCAGGGAGATTCCACACCGACTCAAATCTTGGTCAAGTATTGAGAGTGTGTATTCTGGATCCCGGGCAAATACTGTGCTCTGTTTGAGTCTTGAATGCTCAGAGAATTTCAGTTTTCACGCATCCCCTATCTCCGCCCACTTCTCTGGATTATACACGCAGGGTTAAAAAAAAAAACACGGCAGGAGAGGCTCTTTGACGAGTTAAAATAAAAAATAAACTGTATAGTGCAGTACTCACATTTGACCATGACCATGTAGACGTCGATGGTGCAGATGGGCGGCTGGGGCAGTCTCTCTCCCTTCTCCAGGATGTCCGGGATCTCTCTGGTGGGAATGCCGTCGTAAGGTTTTCCTCCAAACGTCATCAGCTCCCAGATGGTCACTCCTACAGCACGGAAAGACGATCATATAGAAAAGGAATTTGAACATGAACAGAAATCGTTGAGGAAAATAGTCCCTCACCGTAGCTCCACACGTCGCTCTGGTGGGTGAACTTCCTGTAGTGGATGCACTCAAGGGCCATCCATTTAATCGGCATCTGCAGGTAAAAATACAATGTGAATGGTTTTTTAAAATATGACAAAAAGAAACAAAAACATTAAAGGTACACACTGAAGCACTAAATTATGTGGCACATAATATTACTGACTGAGCTGATCAGAGCGTAATAACATTGTGTCCTTGGGCAAGACTTTAGTGTCTGGATGTGTGTGTGTGCTGTGTGTGTGTGTGTGTGAACGAGTTGTTCATTGTTGTACAGATGTAGTCCTAACTCGTTCGAAAATATATATATCATAATGTTGATTTATTTGTCTGTATATGAGATAGAAACATAGATAGATAGATAGACTGATGTTATTTTTTTTGCATGAAATGTTCCACAGTATGACATTAAACCCATCTGTTTCCATGGATAAAAGTACATGATTGGCAGATAGATCATAGACAGATAGATGCTGTCGTACTTATGAATAAATTGTAATCTATTTATCTAAGATTGTGTGTTTTTAACATATTTAATATTTAATGCGATTTTAGCCAAGCGTGACGGATGAATTTAATTGGTCGTTTATGGAACAAACCATTCTGCACTGGAGCACTGTAACACTTGATTTTGTAATTGTGTTTTTATATGTGTTTTGTGGATGAATGAAATGTGAAATGTGGAAACTGTCTCTCAAATCTGCAAAGCAAATTTACCTACGGGTACGAATAAAGCGACCTAACCTAACTAACGTAGATTGATAGATACACAGACAGACAGATGTTATTTCTTTATGGCATGAAATGTTCCACCGTATGACATTAACCACATCTGTTTCCATGGATACGAGTAGGCGATGTCTCTAGGCCGCGTTACGGGTCATGTGTGGAGAGGTGGAGAGGCGACCCCTCTCACTGTACGAAATGAACAACAAAGACACCCGCGACTGAATTATAAACCAGACGCTCAAAACAAATCAACATCTCCATGGAGACGAGCCACTTACACACACCCCAACAGAAAAGTTACACAGTGCACCTTTAAAGACTTCTTTCTGAAACACAAAACCTGCATATTTAGGTTGAATTATTTGCTCAAACTGAAAGCACTGTTCCACTTCATGTCATGTGGTAATACAAGAAGTGCTCCACTGTGTTTTTAAACTTCATCTCTATTGAACTAAATGTAAAAGGCAGTTCAGACAGACTAATAATAAAAGGTTAAGCAGTTGTGTGAATGAAAACACAACTTGAGGTCTGTTTTTGATGAAGTAACAACATTATAACCAGTGTTGGGAGGATTACTTTTAAAATGTATTCCCCTACAGATTACAGATTACGGACCCCAAAATGTAGTTTGTAACGTAATCCATTAAATTACTTAAAGTGAGTAATGTAATCTGAATACTTTGGATTACTTGATTTGCTGTTGAGAAGCAAAGATGAGGAAATCTTCACATAAGATGTTTTGTCTGATAAAAGAAATTTAAAAAGCCCAGACTTTACTTAACCGTATTAAAAGTATTATTATGATTTAATCCTGTTAAATCCTGTTTTAGACCTGGTTTTAGTCTTGGTTTAGTTCTGGTTTAGTCCTGGTTATAGTCCTAGTTTAGAACTGGTTTAGACCTGGTTTTAGACCTAGTTTAGACTTGGTTTAGACCTGGTTTAGAGATGGTTTGGACCTGGTTTAGATCTGGTTTGGACCTGGTTTAGATCTGGTTTAGACCTGGTTTGGACCTGGTTCAGTATCCAGCAATAAGTGGAATACCGTGGAAAAAAAAAGAGATAAAGCCCAAATGTGAAACCAGGAAAATACCGTCATGTAATCCCTTTATTTCAACAAAGTAACTGTAATCTAATTACCACTCACTGAAACAGTAACTGTAACTGAATACAGTTATTCATAATTTGTACTCTGAATATGTAACTCCTGGTTCATGTAATCTGTTACTCCCCAACACTGATTATAACATGCCTAAAAGCTCACAGATTCCATTCTCCGTTAGCTCAGATTCAGGAATTTAACCCCCGCCCTCGTCTTCCACAGCTGACCTAACTATCTGGCAGCTGCACACCCGTCTCCAGGCATCTTGGTGATTACCGCACAGATCCACGCCTCACTTGTTGACAACCGACAATATTTGAATGCGTCCTTCGTGAGGTATTGGAGAATCGACGTGGCCAAGAGCCTTTCCCCGCACTCCGCCCGACGTGAGCCAAGCAGCGCCATCGATTACCCCGCGTCGATGGCTAGCATGCTTTTTAGGACGCTAAACGAGATCGTATTGGTATTTTGTCAGCTGTTAGTCTGTGGAAAATGGAGAAGAAATCGGGTCTTTGACAAGGGACACTGTCGAGAAACCGAAGACTGCTTTGATGATGTTATAAAACGCGGGTCAATACAACTCTACGGGAGATTAGCGTTTTTTGAAAGAGATACCAAAACTGAAAATTGACATTACTAAAGAGGGCGTTTTACACTTACTATGAGGTATTCACGACTAACACATAACATTTCATTTTTTGATTTGATTAATTTTTATCTTAAGTTTGTGCCAAGAGCAAAACGATAATCATACACATACTAACCTTATAAACAACAGAAAAGCACATTTCTCGAAAAGGAGTGGGAAGAAAAAAAACGTACATTAACCCATCCCTGTTCATGACATAGTTTCAAAAATAAAAAAAACGATGTGGTTGCTTCTGTACATTGATGACGAAACTTTAGGTATGTTTACATATAGCAAAAGAAATGACATACTATGCATACTCAGCCCAATTTCTTTCTTTCTTTTTTTTTTGTATCATACTGTATTAGAGTCATACAAACTAATAATAATCTTAACGAAGCCACAAAAGTTCATCATTTATGATCGTACAAAATAAACTACAATGAGAATGAAGAATGTAAGGATTTTTTTCCCCCGTTTATGATCGTTAAACTAATAATGTTAATGAAGGCACAAAAGTTTATCGTTTATGATCATATCAAAATAAACCACAATGAGAATGAAAAAATGTAAGGACTTTTTTTTTTTTTTTTTTTCATTTATGATCATACAAACCAATAATAATGTTAACGAAGGTACAAAAGTTTATTGTTTATGATCATACAAACTAATAAAAAACTTTTGTGCTTTCATTAATGTTATCGTTTATGATCGTACAAACTAATAATAATGTTAACGAAGGCACAAAAGTTCATTGTTTATGATCGTATCAAAATAAACCACAATGAGAATGAAAAAAATTTAATGATTTTTTTTGTTATTGTTTTCATTTATGGTCGTACAAACTAATAATAATGTTAACAAAGGCACTAAAGTTTATCTTTTATGATTGTACAAACTAATAATAATGTTAACGTACGCACAAAAATTTATCGTTTATGATTATACAAAATAAACTACAGTGAGAATGAAGAATGTAAGGATTTTTTCCCCCCGTTTATGGTCAAACAAACCAATAATAATGTTAAAGAAGGCACAAAATTTTACCATTTATGATCATACAAACTAATAATAATGTTAACGTAGGCACAAAAGTTTATTGTTTATGATCGTACAAAATAAAGCACAATGAGAATAAAACAATGTAAGGATTTTTTGTTTTCGTTTATGATCGTACAAACTAATAATAACATTAACAAAAGCACAAAAGTTTATTATTTATGATCGTACAAAATAAAGCACAATGAGAGTAAAACAATGTAAGGATTTTTTGTTTTCGTTATGGTCGTACAAACTAATAATGTTAACGAAAGCACAAAAGTTTATCGTTTATGATCGTACAAAAAAAAAAAAAAACACAATGAGAATGAAAAAAATTAAGGATTTTGTTTGCTTTTTTTATGGTTGTACAAACTAATAATAATGTTAACAAAGGCACAAAAGTTTATCGTTTATGATCGTATAGTTTTGTATAGATTGTATAGTTAATAGTCGTGGTTTACTTGTCAAAACAATGGATCTAGTCTTGTAGATATTTCTGTGAGAATAATTCACAGAAAACAGCACGTACTGTAGTTTACTAGTCTTTGTAATGTTATTATGAAAGGCTATATCAGGGATACTCGTTGCGCAGCTCGCCAAGCTTTAATTGGTGGCTCGCAAGGTTATAACAAAAATAGTAACACAGCCAGTATATTTTTTTCAAATGTGCTAGATAAACATGTAGTGAGCATTGCAAAAAAAAAATCTGCATTACACTAAGTATAAATCAAGGCTTAATTAATGGTGTTTCCTAAAGGGGGCGCCTTGACACCAACAACCAGTGATGCATGGGTCCATGTTATAAACAACCCAAACCCAACCGATGTTTTCAACTAACCCACCTGCAACTCTGACTCTGCAAAAAAAAATTGAAAATATTGCACCAACCCGCTGCCTGAGCCGCATTTTTAAAAAGTAGTCCATGCTCTTAATTAACATCATCTAAATAAAATGACCAACATAAATAAAGTGAAGTGACTGTTAAATAAAGAGCTGCACTAAACCTGCACACGTACAATCTGCAGTCATATGATCGGCCCATGCATAATCTCTGAAAACATGAACCGAACCATCTCCAACACTACACACACACAGAACAGACTCACCATCATCATCAACACCCCTCTGTCACAGAAAGAACACTCATATTCCACTGAGTCGTGTCCTTTAGTCTGACAGAAGCTGAACCATATCAGAGCACAAGGAAAGAGCTGATTTTTTTTCAGGCTTATAGTTTATGCAAATGAGTCATGTGGTTTTAAGTTTTGTTTCTGTAAAACATAAACAAATGTGTCAAAGCTGAATTAAACACATTATAATGTCAAACCATGGATCTATTAATATAACTGGATACAGTATTGCTGCTTGTAGCTGCCTCCAGTTGATGTAGTGGTCACTCACTGGTACTACAGCGGAAACAATCCCGTGGGCCGAGACAAGATTTTTCTCATAGAGCACAGTGTAATCACAAACTGACTGTGTTCAGCTGACAATGCACCTACAACTTTCAAAAATGTCAGATTTAGTGGCGATTTTTACCTATTTTTTGATTATACAC